TGCTCGAAGCTATTACCAATTATTGCTCGACAATTATTTAAAAAATCCGGCATTGTAGAGCGTGACTACGCCGTTGCACGATTAGTCAATTAATCTAGTTGGTATGAATTTGAAAATTTATCGATTCTCCCCATGTATATTTGTAATTTTTTCATAATTATAAATGCCCGTATACGTCATTATAAGAATATGCAATTAGACGAATAATTATCAAATGCACAGGTTAATGGCCAACGAAACGAATTGTCGACAATGGCAAAGGAAATGTAAATTAATTTGAAATATTATCGGAGTAGAGCGGATGATGTTGCTCATGCTCGAAGCATCTCAGGCTCTCCAGTCTCCTTATTTAACAATGCTGTGTAAGAGAGATGGAGATAGATACATAAACAGAGAGAGAGAGAGAGAGAGAGAGAGAGAGAGAGAGAGAGAGTGAGAGGTGGTGAGAGGGGAAGAGGGGGCAGTGGCACAGACGCCGTAAGTATGCATATATGTGCGAGCGGCGCAACCTCTTGATTACCGATAGCTTTGGCAAGTTGGTTGGACGAGGAGGCAGCGTTCCTTACCATTAAAGTTGACGGATTTCGGTGATGAGCTCGATATTCTCGTGGAGCAATTCTTGTTCTGCTGGTTGTAAGCGGCGATGCGCAGCCCCACGGGGCTATTCCTCTTGTTCGACGAGATGGCGCAAACGGGACTGAGCTGTCGCTCGGCAAAGCCGTCGCTGCTGTGTCGCGTCGTCGCCATCGTCGTTCCCGAAGATGCCCTGTCGACCTCCGAATAGCCCTGGCAGGTCTTAATGCCCCGCCCCGAGTTCAGGTAGTTCTCGATCTTGCACTTGTCCCGCAGCCCGTTGGCGAAGCCATTATGGTGGCGCTCCATCGCTAATGGCGATATCGATTGGCTCTTGGGCGGATTACCCTGCGACCCGACGTTCAGCGTCTCGTTAGACCTGCAAGATTAAGTACCGTTTAATGAGCCGGTCTTACATGCCGACGCACCACCAGCTTTCCCGCAATTTTCCTCTCCTGTGGCTGCACGTCCGTAGGTGCCCATACGCGCGCACAGGCGATAAATTACTTTTAAACGAGCTAATGGACTCTCTATCAATAGACAGACTTTGTCCACTTTGTTTCCTTTATCCACGTAATCTCATCTCATCACACACGCGCACGCACGCACACACGAACACACACACACACACACACGAACATTCAAGTATTTTTAGGTTAAATGGAGGAGTTTTTTTCTTTTTACAAGGAAGCAAATCTATAAACAATATTTTTTTATAAAAATAATTCATAATTTCTAACGTTAAAGTTACATTATTAAAGTAAAATTCAACATTAGGAATTGCGAATGTATATCGTGAGTAGGTTATTATCAAACGGGAAGCGTATCGTGTTAACCAAAAAAGATTTTCATATAAATCTGGATATTATCGGCTTATTAGTAGAAAAAATTTGCAAAATAATTTGTAATAAATAAATGGAATAGGTGTTATCAACGACAACGACAACGACAACAACAACGACAACAAAAACAACAATAGCAACAACAATAAAAATAAATAAATATCAATAATAATAATAATAATAAATTAATATGTAATAGTAATAATTAAATATTAAATAAATTTGACTTTAAATACATGTATTTACTACTAAGAACATTCAAACTACATAAATCACTTTAAATTTTGACTTTAACTGATTTTTAATATTATTTGGTTAGATTTTTTTACTAGATTAAAACAAAAACAAAAAAGAGAGAGAGAGAGAGAGAGAGATAGAGAGAGATAGAGAGAGAGAGAAAGAGAGAGAGAGAGAGAGAGAGAGCGTGAGGGAGGTAGAAAAAGAGAAAACAGAAAAACAGAGAACCGTATAGACAAAGGCTTCTAAACGCAATTGTTTATGTTATTGACGACGAATTTGATTGTCATGTAAACGACTTTTAATTTTCTAATTAATTGTCCACGCTAACCGTGACCACAATACGCTATTATTCATTATGAATGGATATTCAGTTCTAATTGGATATTGGTTAGTAGCATTCGAAAGATAATCCGTTTAATTGGAAATTAGCTTTCGGATTATTCGATCATTAATAGAATATTAAGGATTTGGTGCAGTGGCGTTGTATATTGATGTCTCGGCTGCAAAATTTCCTAATTAATTGCACGAAAGGACAAGGCCAATTTATTCCTAGTAGCATCTAGGCCTCGAATCACGGGTCGTCGTACCTGAAACCGGCCGGGCTCGTCTCCCTGGTGATGAGCCTAGCGCCGGGGCTGCTGTCCCTCGATCTGAAGCCCTCGCGTAGCTTGCTGTCGTACCTCGTGATCCCGCTGTAGCCGCTTATGCTGCAAGCTAAGCCCAGGTAGCTTGGCTTCTTCGTCGCCGTTAGCTGCTCCTGCGCATCGCTGTCCGCGTGCTCATTGTCCACCGGCCGCTCCTCCTCCGACGATTTCGTCCCCTCGCCGTTGCACGAGAGGGTCAGGCTATAGAGCGTCTTCTCCGAGGGCGAGCCCGCGTTTGCGAAATCTGCAAAGCCAAGGGGATCGATAAGAGAGAGAGAGAGAGAGAGAGAGAGAGAGAGAGAGAGAGAGATATTTCCTTATTCCCTTAAGCGCAGCGCCACTCACGCACCTGCCACTAGCCGCGAAACGATCGAATTTGCCGCAAATAGGAGTAGGCGGCCAAGCGACTTATTCTTACAGCTCGACTTTCGATATTTCCAAGTCTTTGTGCTTGATTATCAAGCCAATTGGTGGTCGTGAGTGCATCTGAATTATATGAGACGAGAGGTAGCTGATTGTCAAGAGTGACACAAAGACTTTGCATCCACCAACATCGAGGAATCTCAATGATACGTAGAAGTATGTCATGCAAAAGCGCATTGCGGATTTACCGATGGGGTGGGTTGGAGGGAGGGGGGGGGGGTGCCGAGCAACAACGAAATTCAAGGACGAAATTATTACGAAATTACTCGTTTACGCGGAATCTCAATATTTATTTGAGACAAGCCCAAATACGTCTCCTTATTCCTGGAAGCTTTACCAACCATTAGCCGGAGGAGCTTTTATTGGTTGTTTTCATAAAGGGCATTGTGGAGTCGAAGATAGACAGTCCGCGATGTTCCCAGACAACCTAAAAGCCATTATTTTCTTCTTATCTGAAGAAGGTCCAGCGTTGGAGGAATGAAGGGTTCGTACGTATCGCGTGCTCAACTACTCGAAATAACGTTCAAACCGCCCCCTCTAAAAATACGATAAGTCAGCGTAATTGCGCGCCTCGATCGTTGCAATTCCCCTGGAACTTCGGGGGCCGAGTAGATGTTGTGGCTTGGAAGTGAAGTATTTTGAAGGGGAGCAAAAACATAGCAGAGTCGAACAAAATGGCAACCATTAAAATCCATGCACGTGAAAGTAGACGCCCCATCCGCGCGATACGCTGTTCCAGAAACGCCAACTAATCATATCGTCACGATGGCGGACGCGAGTTCCTCGCTCCTTCTTGCCCGGGCTCGTAAAATCGTCCTGACTCCCGGTGCCGCGGCGCCCATTTTAGTCCGTCGTTGAAAAGGCGCCACGATTCAGCTCTTTTTTCCATCGTAAATTCCAGAGGATACCCGGTGCTCACCATCCCCGCTCCTTCCTCCGTAAGAAAAGTAGAAACAATCACACCGAGAATCACGTGGCAGTGCGCTAAGCCCAGCTCCGCGGCGATAGTCCGTTTGCCGGATTTTTCGACGACTGTGCCAAATGAGGCGCGAAGCGGTCGTCGATAAGAGGGAGCGAGACTTATCCGTTGCGTGCGAGCGAGTAGGCGTCACGCGACACGCGATGACGGTGAATCCTCGGCTCGTTCAGGAGATGGACGGCTCTGATTCATCAAGGGATGGGGGATGGGAGAGGGATCGGGGCTTCGAGCATTGGGGGCCAATCGACGAGAATAGCTGGGACGTCTCTTTTCCACTCGCGCGCACCGCTGGCATCGTTGGCAACACGGAGAACGAGAGAGTGGAGGGGAGACAAATGACGCGGAGTAAGGGGAAGGGGAGTGTAAGACGACGACGACGACGACGATGACGATGATGACGACGATGACGACGATGACGAAGATTCCTTTCTGGCCCTCGAAGCTTCTCTGTCCTTCGTCCAGTTTTGCGCGATTCCAACTTATTTTGGGAGATTTGAAAATGCCGAGCCGAGGATTCGACGAGACGACATTTTCACGATAAATGCTGTCCGTATTCGGTCTGCCAGCGATTTCATGCGTGACGCTGTTTTCTAAAACTTCATCGATCCAGTTCTTTACGATTTCATATAAGGAAGCAAGGCCGTCTGTTATTTTCAATAGCCATACAATCCATAATGCACGTCAACACGAGAATACCTTGCCTCTCTTACCATATTTGTAATTACAATAATAACGAGAACTTATTGCCATATCGTAATTGTGTAATTGTATTCTTATACAATCAATAAGATTTCTCTAAAGTCAGATTTTCCCTTCGATATATGTATCTCTATGCATTTAGCCAAAATTCACTGCAAAAGTACAAATTTGTCTTCAAATTTCTTATTGCGTTAGATTTTAAGGGAAGCATTTTTCTGCTGAATGTGTAGAAACGAATTGGAGAACACATGTAAGGAACACGAATGCAAATGAATGAAAATAATTCGCTCGTTCGCGCCTTTGATAAAATGCAAATTTAACGGGACCATTCTGGACATAATCTGGCATTTTAATTACCTTTTCGTAAAGATCAAAGCAATGCCGACATTTTTCCAGCAAAAAATATAGTTATCCCAGACTTTTTCACATTCGCAAGAAAATATAGCGTGTGGATAAGAACAATGTGGATGAAACGATAGGGAATTAATTATATTTAAAAATTGTTGAATTAGTTTGAAAATGATGAAAAAAAGTTACGATAATAATTGGAAAATCATCATAGAATAATCATCTTTATATTATAAAAACCCTCTGGCTATCCAATACTTACTCGTACGTTATAATTTAACGGCAAAGTTATCGTACAATTTAATTTATATTTTCTTCTATCTTTGCAATATTACTACTCATGTTACTTTTTCAATTAAATTATAAATTGTTTTTTCTAAAATATTTCTTTATAAATATAGCATCGTTAATAAAAATAACCTGTTTTATCAAAATATTGATTATCAATCATTCCTAAAATCAATATTAATGATAATAATTCTTGTAGAGTCTCTCTTTTTCTTTAATGATTTCATTGCGGATTCAATTTATACTTTTTATACTAGGCATTGTAGTTCATGCAAAACTCGAGCAATTAAATAATATATTTAACCAACACCATTAAAACAGTTAAATTAATATTAATATATACAATACTACTGCAATGGAATTTGAAATTATTGCACATTTATCAAGTATCTATTAGCATAATAATAATAATAGATTTTTATGTTAATGAAGCCCATATATATATACACATACATAATTATAATAATTTTATTTAACGAAAAGTAATCAAAGAAGCGTTTGAGCGATAATCCTTTACCTTTCTTAATCTTTCTTTTTGCGAGTCAGATTGGTTGAAAATGGACTTCTACAATCTCAATGGTTAACTGTATTGCCGGATAGGAAAGAAAGAAAGAAAAGAATAATAAAAAGCGAACGTTTTCTATTCAACGCCTACTTAGAAAATTTACATCGAGGAGCTCTATGAGGCATTCGAATGTATAACACATTGGAATTTATAACTGAGACAATAATCTTGAGAGGTATTCAGCGAATTTTCTGCCTTTGCATTTTACGTTATAATTACTTTAGTTGTCAGAATTACGTGACGCCATTTGACTTATATTGAACATATAATCCATATAGTTCTGTTGAGTCATTACCATACCGCATTACATGTACTTGAAGTATTACGTACATATATATATATATATATATATATATATATATATACAGCATCATGTTATGCATATTGATAAATAAATAATTTGTTTACATATTAGACAATAATTAATATTATCGATTTAATATTTAACGAGCGTGAAAAATTTTTTTAAATAAATGACTGATAGGAAAAACGCAGTCGTCGACTCGGTTGTAATCAGCAGCAATAGCATAATTGTACTTAGCTATCTCTTACGAGCACATTAAATAATAAAAGGTGATATCTTCTCAATCTATAGATATTAAATCGTGTAATATTGACGCAATTGTTTGAAAATTAATTTAATTTGGCAATTTTTTTTTTTTTTTTGCTTTTTTATCGACGAATTATATTCCAAAATTTTACGCACTAATGAAAATATATTAAAACATGAGATTATTATTTAATAAGCATAAAACATGAAAATATTTATATTACAAAGATCATCGCTTAGTGTGCATTTTTAATGTGCAAATTAAGGAAAAATACCTACTTTACGAACGACGTTTGAAAAAAAAAAAAAAAAAAAAAAAAGCAATTAAAATGTCCAGTTAATGCAAAAATAAGTTCTTATGCTTATTATGATTATGCGCGTGCTTGTAAATTCATGAATATTTAACACACACTCCTACATAAGCAGATAGTTTTATTTACATTTTGATAATGACGCGATAACTCGTCAATACACATAAACATATTTGCGGTTATCTCACAACTAAAATGAATTGTACGTGATTAAATGTTTAAGATAAAATAAATGCAAAGTTGCACTTCAAAATAGAAATATAATGCAAGAGAAAGTGTCTAATTTAAATCGAACGAAACATTTAATAAAATAACACTTTATTAATAATATACGATCGACAGAAACGGCTGTCTTTGACGTCTCTCAACTTTTGTTGTTAGGATTAACAAAACAACCAGTGTCAATCGTTATGGATGCTATAATAATTTCGAGCAATTTGACAATGAACCGTAAATTTGCAATTTACAAGTATGCGAAAAACGAGAAAATGAATTTCCAAATGCGTAAAATTACGATTAACATATCAAAGAAGATTCATGATTATTTATTTTTTTTTTTTTCATGATGAATTAACGCTATTGACGAATGGCGTTGATATATACCGAAGACATATACTTTTATGTAAGATTGGATTAGGAAATTACGAGTACGTAATGCCCTAATAATACGCGGGTAAAATCCATCTACGCGGCCTTAATTCAGCCAACTGTTGATTAAACAATCGTAAAGATGAAGATGAAGTGTAATGGAAGACTGTGAAGACTGTCGAGAGATGCATCATTAGGCACATAAGAATCATTGAATCTAGCTAAATGCAGCAGAATGACATTATCGAATTGCAATATATACGACGATGTTTGGATTCGCTTCTTTGAGCCCTTTTCTGATAGGAAAGGAAACAATTCAAAGGTGCCGAAAGATCATGGACGGCCGCATCGACCTTGGCAAATGATCGCGCGGGACCGCCGAAACCGGTGGGGCGTTCATCCGTCGGCTCAGCTCTCGCATCCCCGCAAGCCTAAAGCGAAGAGACATCAGCGAGAGCGCGCTTCTAGTAATGTGCCAACCTGATCGGTCAGAGACGGATCTCTCGACGTCGAGGCTGCAGCTGCCGATGCTCTCCTGGCTGGTCATGCTCGGGTGGTGCTTGGCCGCGGGCGGCCTCCTCCCGTCCACGGGTTGCTCGGGCAGCTGCTCGGGATCGAGACGCTGGTAATTGAGCGGCTGCACCGCCAGGGAGTGGGGCCGCGATCGTCTGCCGCCGGTCCTCGGGGTGGCCACGGGCCCAGGGTCCTCCCCGCTGGCCCCGGGCCGGCGCTCCTCCGACGAGCCCCGCCGCTCCTCGTGCACGCTGCCCAAGAGAGGATCATTTTGCCAAACGTTAAGACCTCACCGCCACTTCCTCTCTCATCTCCACCACCGCATCTCACCCCTCGCCACCACCATATCCTCGCTCCCATGCACACAACGCGATGCGCGCGAACGCGGCTCACGAACTTCCGTACTTGTTACTTTTCGAAGCGCGAGCCAATGGTCGCGTTGCTGATTATTTGGTGACAAAAGCTGGTAAAACAGGCCTCTCCTGCTCACGAATATTCGCGATAAGAATATTACATTGCCCGTGCTTCATGGAACTCCCCGACGGCGATACCTCCCATCCCACCCTCCCACTTGCCACTTATTCGTTAAAGACGCCTAATATGTCTAATATGTCATTTAGCAGCGCGTCACGATTAATTCCTCAAAATAGGATACTCTTAGTTATATTTAGTATTTGACGGACGAGCAGCGTTTACCAATCGAAGGATCAAATTGCTTATTATAAGGCGCGAGAGAAAATTTGCTTCGATAGCGCGATATATAAATAATCCTACTTATCGTCATTACCTTCATTTGGCCTTCTTTTTCTATGGAAGCGATAATTTACTTAGGAACAAAAAAATAAAAATTTATAATTTAAAATTTACAAATAAGATAAACTATCAGATACGACTATTATATATTGGCTGTCTGCCGATGTAATATTGCATTATTAAATCCATATTGCGCCTTATTACCAGCTTATCTATTCGGTAATTTTTGTTAATACGTAAAGTTATGGAATAATCCATTATACGTCAGATGGATCGAGTTCAATAAAACAAGATTTTTCAAGTAAAGAGTCATAATCTCGCTTATGACACGGGATTATTAATATTGTCTTTCACTTGAATCGATAGTGTCGTTATGAAAATATTTTCTACTTTACTAATTATTTGATACGTCAGCCGTTCATTCGATCTCCAAGTCTTTGTCGTAAAAAATATTTTCATCTTCATAATAATTTTTTCACGAGCGTTAGTTTTATGTTAAAAGCTGTGCTGTTTAGCATGCAATTATACATGAAGTCATTAATGGATGTTCACACATGCTTATCGGATGCGTTGTTGAATTGACAAGAAAAAAAAAAAAAAAAAAAAAAAAAAAAAATCATTAAAAAAAATAATAGAACAACAAAAAGCACCAAGTATTAGCCATTATCCAATCGATAAGTATATTGGTTTTTTTTTTTGCTTTTTTAAATGAAAAAAAGTACACAACATTCTCAGGTAAGAAAAAAATGTCAAATTATTTATCATTAATGAGAGATCATAATTATTAAATTATAATTGACTATTTATTATACTAAATATTGTAGCGTTTCAGGCTTAAAAGTCAGCCGTTTAATTATTAATAACATAAGGTTGAGTGTGTCAATGAGAGAAAGTGATAATTTAATTGATTTCTTAATTATGTACACGGTGTACTACTACTATCATATATATATAAAAAAAAAAAAACGTTATCTACTATTGCATCGTTAAATCAATAATACACCGATGCATAAAATTACGTTTATCGGTGCAAACGCAATACATTTAAGAATTATCAACAACAAATTTCAAAAGTCTTAATTTCGTTCTCGTATTGTCGGGCGAAAGTGTAAATTTTGTCTGTAGTTAGCAGGGCAAAATAATGAAAAGGTTAGTAAATATTATGTCAAGTAATGGTTAGCACGCACTATAAAAATAAAAATAAACGGAATAATTCGATCCGTACGAAAATAACGTGGTCCCTTGCTATCGCCGAGCCTCGTTATTCCAAACCTTTTAATTTTGCTTTTGCATTGACGTGGAATTCAGTGCACTTTAACGGCACGTATGTAATATAAGCGAAAACACTTATCAAAGCCTTTTAATAGACTAAACGAGCCGCATCTAATATTAATAGCACATTAATCAACATAAATGGCGCTTTTAACTTCGACTTCTTTCGTCTACATAAAATACTTTCATCGGCGGTAAATTTAAATTTATATGCCGACATAAATCATCGGTCTTATTCGCCAAATTAACATTCAAACACCTATCCATGTGTATTTGAGTTTAGTTTTGTGGATAAAACGAAAAAAAAAAAAAAAAAAAGTTTCTTATCTATTTTCTTCTTTTTGACGTGTTATATTATCAATTACCTCATTTATTAGGAATAAAAATGCAGTGCTATTGTGGTTCGCTAATGTGCGAATCGAGGTAAATACGATTGGGCACGTGCACGAAAGCATTTTCTCTTGTCCTAAGCATACAACGGTAATATATTTAATAACCTTGCTTGCGCGCGTTTGTGCGCGTGCGTGTGCGTATGTTGGTGCGTTGTGTAGCGTTAGAATTAAAAATAAACGTGCACGATGAGACTGTTAATATCTCCGTGCTGCTTAATTATACATAACCACATAGAATGTACTAATCCCTAACCAAAGCCGAACGAGATGGTCTTCTTGGATAACTTTATCGAGTAAAACTCTGGAGCTCAATATCGCAATCCAATGAATTATTGGGCAAAAGTATAGAGCTATTATGTATTATGTTCGATAATGTTAGTAAATAGGGAACATTGTGATTGTTATGTCGTTTTGATAACTCAATGATGAGCTCACGTTGACTTATATTATATTTTTCAAAGTTAGGATGATGCCTATAAATTAGGAAGCTTATATTGTAATTGAAAGAGTTGCAAACTATAAAAAATATTGTGAGATTAATAACATTGAAAAATATGTAAACGAAAATGCTTCAAATACGAAGGAGCAATTTTGAAATGAAAATGTCCAAAGAAAGGAATTCCATATTTTTTTCAAATCAACGAATGAATGGAAATAATTTTTTTAATTGAAAGTAACTTTTGCTTATTCACTGACAATCCGGTGTTTGTGTGCACGTTTTTATACGTATGAAGATTAATACGCCTTTATACGCAAGATTCATAATGCGAGTACTTCATTGCATATTTTTGGTATATACATACATACATATATATATATATATATATATATATATATATATATATATATATATATATACACTAGAACAACAAAAATCTCATTTTACACTATACTTTTAAACAGACATTTCTTTTCCCGGAAGATTCACTATTACAATGTTTGTGAAAATAATCTAAACCTTTTCAATATTAGCACAAACGACAATATTTTTAGTTGTCATTGAGAACTTTTTTCTCCTATCGGAGACTTAAAATTTCATTGCATATGCCACATTGTCAGTCTCTATGTACGTGTACGTGCCCGAGTGAGCAGGCACGAATGCATTTTTTCATTTAAACTGTTCGTGTTCGTCATGCATTGCATGTTGGATAATAATCCGTCATTGTAGTTGAAGTCGATCTGCCGAAATGATTTACAAGTGTGGATTAACAAATGATGTAAATCATCATTAAGAATTCAATAAGTTCTTTGCTGTGGCATATTAACGTAATATCGCCAATACTTCAAACTACGTACTATTTAATTAAAAAAAAAATCAAAAAAAAAAAGAAAAAGAAAATAAAAAAAAAAAGAAAGAAAGAAAGTAAAAAAGACTCGATAAATTATAAAGTTCTGTATCGGACGAAAATTAGATTAATTAAAATTTTTTTAAACATTCCAATAGTTATAATCCACGTCATCAAGAATAGATATAATGTTTATAGATTTGTAGCCTTAACGATCTTTCGATGCAAATTTTTTTTTTTTTACATAAATGTCAAATGTTTGAAGCACGCGAAATGCAAGATGTGTATTAGGAGGGGGGAGGGGGGGGGAGGAAACAACAATAATCAAGTAACTAAATATTTCGAGAAATCATTGCGATAATAACGTTAAAAGTGGTCATTTAATTAGTATCAATCAAATATTTAATATATATTCAGATTACATGAGAATAAAAACGAAGTTACGGATGCTGCGTTCTAATTTAATCGAAATTATAAAGTATAATGAAATTTTATTATAATTAACTGTATGTTAAACATAAAGTAAGCGTAAAAACGTTTCAAACAGGAAAATATTAAGATTTGTTCAATTAGTTGTTTTGCTTCATGCACAATAAAGTAAATTGGTTATTTTCAAATTACAATATGCTTGTATCGGGAGTTAATCTCTTGGCTAACAAATAGCACTTGAGTACTAATTCATACGAAACTCAGACTCATAAGTGACGCATAAAAATGCAATAACAAAACGAGTCGTACAAAAACGATTAACCGTGATAAATGAAAAACAAACGTCCATCCACTCGCACACCAAACGGCACTCCACTCCCACACAACTCCGCCTCTCTCCAAGCTCAAAAAGCTCAAAGCCATATCCGATGCTGTTATTAACGTCGGGTAAACAATCCAGCCAATAAAAAGGATAAATACAAAAGCACGAGCGCGGAGCAGGCCGAGATAGCTGGATCAACTCAAATCTTCTCGGCTCCGCGCATCAATCGGCAAAAACAGCCCCCATCGGGCGCACAAATTCACACGCGCACAAGGGGGTACCTGCGTCGCCAGTGCTTCCAAAGCGTGAACTTGGACAACCTCTTGGCGGCGGCGCTGGCGGGGCGCCGATTCACCGTGTAAGTGCCGCTCTCAATTTTTAGCGGCATCGTCGGGCTGCGTCACAGAAAAGCGACTGTTGCTCGCGACCGCGAGAACGTAACGAGGAAGAGCTACTGAAGGAATTGACGGCGATGGCGGTGGCGGTGATGGCGGTGGTGGCGATGTTGACAGGAGCGGCCTCGGCGGCGGTAGCGTCGATTACTGTTGCTGATGCTGCTGATGCTGCTGCTGCTGCTGCTGCTGCTGCTACCGATGATGATGATGATTCTGCTACTACCTATGGTTGCGGACGTAGAGGGGCCAAGAGGCTGAAAGGCCTATAAATGTACTCGCGATTAATGCGATCGAACGATCGATGCGCTTTGCGGGCCTTTCTTTAGCGAGCGTATCGCATCCCTCCAGTCGACCGCTCCCCTCTGCCTTATTATCGCGCGCGCGAGCCTCCCAGAATCTCTC